GATCCTGAAGCTGAGGCTCCAATACTTTGGCCATCTCATGAGAAGAGAAGTCTCATTGGAAAAGACCTTGATGTTGGGAAAGTGTGAGGACAATAAGGAGGACGACAGAGGACAAGATGGTTGGATAATGTCATTGAAGCTACCAACATGAATTTGACCCAACTCCGGGAGGCAGTGGAAGGCAGGAGCGCCTGGTGTTTTCTGAGGTTGTATTTGTAAGGATCTTTATTGGTAAGTAAATTCCACTGGAATAATTTGGAATACATAATACAGTGGTGCCCTGACTTACAAACGCCCTGACCTACGAACATTTTGAGTTACGAACAGCTCCGGACATGAAATATTGCTTTCAGTTAAGAATGGAGCTTTGACTTACAAATGAAAAAAGGCAGGGGAAAAAGGTGGGAAATTCAAACCACTGGTGGCGAAGAGGCTGCTTCTTTGTAGCTCTTTCACCCCAATGGTTAGAGCAGGCAGTTAGGGAACTTTTTTACTCATGGGGCACAGGAGGAGGAAGGAGAGACAGGGCGGCTCCGGATCACAGCTGGGCACGGGAAGCCAGTGTGCTCCCTGCCCATCCCTGGTGCGGGTCTACTCACAAGTAAGTGCCGCTGAAGGCATGGGGGGTCTACTCATGAGTAAGTGCTGCCAAAGATGCAGGTCTATTCATGAGTAAGCGCTGCCGAAGGCGCGGGTCGGAGGGGTCCATAGCGGCGCAGGAGGAGGAAGGAGAAGTGGTTTGGTGCTAGTGCTTTGGAAGCCAGGGAAGCCTCCGCAGAGGCTTCAGACTGGTAAGGTGCTACTTTTTCCTTTTAAAAAAGTTGTTCTGGGTGGGTTTTGGAGGGTAGGTTTGGGCTAGGGGGGTTACATTACTGTGTTGTTTTGTTGTTTTGTTGGGTTTTTTTTCCAGGCCCACATGGGACTTGCTCCAATGTGTATTTTTGGATTTGTTTGTTTGTGTGGGGGTTTTTTTGCAGTCCCAGTGTGTGACTTACAGTGTTTTACATACTTACTGTACATATTTACTGTACGTACAGGGTTTTTGCAGCTTGGGCGGGATTTTTTGCAAGGGTCTGTGCTGGCTGCTGGAGATCTGCATTTAAAATCAGAAATGGTGTTCCAAAGGTTTATTGGGCTGCTGCGGGTGTAAAATGCAGCTTCGACTAAAGTCTCTACCCCCCCCAGGCTTTAAAATGCAGCTTAGACTCAGGTCTCTACCCCCCCATGCTCTCTTTTTGTGATGAGGAGATCTGTGCTGGAAGAATGCTTGCTGATTGTTGGTTCAAGCAGGCTTTAAAATGCAGCTTAGACGCAGGTCTCTATTCCCCCATCTATGCTCTCTTTTTGTGATGAGTAGTTCTGTGATGGAAGAATGCTTGCTGATTGTTGGTGCAAATTTCTTCCCCTAGTGGTAGAGTACGGATTAACCGGCTTTGCATTAGTTCCTATGGGAACTACTGTAATGCTTTGACTTAAGAACCATGCCTTTGTCATAAGGACAAAAAACAGCCGGAACGGATTAATCGGTTTTCAATGCATTCCTATGGGAAATGCTGCTTTGACTTAAGAATGTTTTGACTTACAGCCACCGTTCAAATACAGATTAAGTTCTTAAGTCAAGGCACCACTGTATTTGGGCAGAACACTGAGTTTCCCAATGCTGCTCTGCAAATGTGTGCCTAATCAACAATTCAAGATTACAGGGAGCTGTTTTCTACTGAGTCAAACTGCTGGCCCATCTAGTCCAGTAAAGTCAATTCTTGACTGGCAACAGATTTCCAGAGTTACAATCCACCCACCCACCCCAGTTCCCTGAGATCTCTGACAGTACTGTATTTTGTCTTCAGAAACGCAGAGGTCTGTCATTTACATGTCAATGTTGTTGATAAATGGCCTCTGATAGTAAAACATAGATTATGTCAGGATTTCATAATTTAGCTATATACTTAAACACTCTTTTGCCCTCAAGACTGGCAGGAGGCCTATACAGTCATAGACACAGTGTTGTGGCAATTCTAGAATAAGAAAGATGTGAGTCTGAACCAACAGTTCCAGACAAGCACAGCTGCTGTCAGTAATACAGATGAATGTCTTCAATTAAGGCTTGGTGTGAGTCACTAAAGGAAAGCATACTTGGAAAAAAACCCCAAAGAAAATCTAAGCTTCGTGAAAGAAAATATTTATTCTACAGCACTTTGCACAAGAAGATCCATGCCAGATAAAAGCATTCACTGTTAAGTAAACTCCTATAAAGGTAGATTAACTCTACCTCTGTAATTTATACCAATGATAACTGTTTAGCAATTTGTTAAAAGTGAAAGTAGTTCTGAATTAGGCTCAGAAAAAATTAGGAAAAGGCCATGTGGTCCTTAAAATTACAGAAATGCAAGAACAGGCAATACCTCTATTGCTACACTAAAAAACTCCAAAACAAATAGCAAGCTTTCATGGGTAAAATCCACGTCTTCTATTTATAATATTTCTCCACTGTCTATCAAATATTGACATGTAGCCTGAAAATGTGCACGTTATCTGTGAAAGCTTGTTGGTTGTTCTAATAAAAATATTGCTTGCTTTTGCATTTGTTTCGTTCTGAGCTGTAGAAAACCAGGCAAACCCTGGTGCCTATAGCAAAATCAAGAAGGGAGAGGAGGAAGACAGCCACGTGGAGCTAGGGGTGGAAATAGGCTACATTTCATTTAATACCCACTTTTAATGATAACCAGAAGAAAAGTGCAAAGCTGCTTCAGTTGCCAAGTACGGACACAAGCTCATGCAACATATTCAGCCGACAGGTTCATGTGAGATTCTCCTTCCCTTTGCTTCATTCTCCACAAAGAAGAGCCTCAAAGTTAGGTCGCAGTCACACCAGGGAAAAGTTCCCCATTTCTTTTTCTTTTTTTAAAATACATTTTATTAGTTTTTCAATCTACAGTGGTGCCTCGCATAGCGCGGTTAATCCGTTCCGGATTAACCTTCGCTATGCGAAAACATCGCTAAACAGGAATAAAAAAGCCACAGAAACGCATTGAACTTTGTTCAATGCGTTCCTATGGCTTTAAAACTCACCGTTAAGCGATGTTTTTCCATAGCGCCGCCATTTTCGCGCCCTCGGTAAGCGAGAGCAGGGCGCAAAAATGCGGCGCGGACCTTCTGGTGGCCATTTTGGAACCGCCAATCAGCTGTTCTCCCCGCTTCGTTCTGCGAAAATCGCTAAGCGAATTGCTTAGCGATCATCGCAAAGTGAAAAAACGCTATAGGGGCCATCGCTGAGCGAACGCTCCAGCGATGGCCCGGACCCCCTCGCTATGCGAATTCATCGCATAGCGAAGCACTCGCTAAGCGAGGCACCACTGTATCTACGTTTGGTTCATGTTTATCAAACATTGTGTTACATGGGTTGCTTACAATTACTTGGCTTTGCGTCTTGCTGTCTTCCCAATTATCCCCCCAAATTCCACACATCTTTCAATCATTCAAACCGTTCATGTATGTATTTTAGTATACAGTATTGGCTGTTATCATAATGCAAACTCTGTAATTTATACCAATGATAACTGAGTAAGATCTTAATAGATATTTTATAAAGATTGATTGATTGATTGATTGATTGATTGATTGATTGATTGATTGATTGATTGATTGATTGATTGATTTGATTTATACCCCGCCTATCTGGACCACCAGACCACTCTAGGTGGCTTCCAATATAAAATTAGACAATAAAAACACAAACAAATACATAATAATACAACAGCAACTACAATAAGGTAAAGAATAAGGAAAAATAATTTGTATAATTGTTTAGCCATTTCTATCTCCACATTTTTGATCTTGTCTATAACAATATCATATCTAATGCATGTTCATTATGTACTATTTGTTTACCCCAACCTTATATCTAGCTTCAATTTGCCTTTAAACCCCACCACCACCATATTATGGCTTTACCCTGATTAGTGCTCCCTTATTTCAGTTTAATTCTCTTTTTTAATATACAAGATATGCCCCTTTGCAATTCCAGAAGTTTAAGTACTGTATATACACGCTTTCCAACACTGAGGGCCACCTTCTTGTTTATCCCTTTTTCATCTTTCTAATTCCTTCTCTTAAAGTGACTTCTTTGTGGAAACAAATGGGCTTCTGATCATCAGAACTGGCTCCTAATCTTTCACAAGCTTTGTGAGGCTTTTTAAGGACTGATAAAAAAAACCTCTCCTATATTTACAAATCAGACACCTATAATTGCTTTTTGCATGGTAGTCTAAACAAATGTCATGGTTCCCGATTCCATGCTTCACTTATATCTAACTCTTCCTGTAATATGCATGGACAGAGCACTTGAAAGACACACCACCATACTCACATGAACCGTCACTAGGAGATAACTCCTGTGTTTCTGGACATACTGAGTCAGATACTACTAGTTCTTTGATTTGTCACAGGAGTAAATCACCTGGAGATGCTGGTGAAAAGCATTTAAGGGACTCAGGTAAATTCTTTATTTTTCCTTTACAGGACTCAGAACAGAAGGACTATTTCGAAGGTCGGCTAGCATGCAAATTATTAAAGAGATCCAGAAACTTTATAATCAGGGTAAGTTATTGTTCTGTTGTCATCACAAAATTAGGGATGGCTTTTAAATAAGATTGATGTCAGTGAACATGAATTACCGCCTTTATTATACCATTGATTAGTCATAAAATTGTTTCTAGCTGGAAATGTCATATTACAAAGGGTTGTCTCAACTAATTACTTGATTAATTACACACTTTTAACTGATTGCATTTAACTGAATATGCATATTGCCAAAACCTTAATATCTGGGGTGTATTGAAAGAAAGATAATGTGCAATCTCTTAAACCAGGGCTGGGCGCCTTCTGGAGTTCTAGCAAGAGCACTAGAAGGGCAGTCCTAGCTCCTAGTTTGTCACCAAAGTATTTTTCTTTAACAAAGACTTTTATTAAAAGAAAAGTTTCTCACGTCCCCCAGTGAATAAAAAATAATAATAATTCCTGGCACAGGGGGAAAGGAGTGCTGGAGGCCCCCAAAACATGGCCAGACTGCCGTCAGTGCCTCTTAGAAAATACAAGGGCATTTTTTTCAGCCATTTGGGGGCATGAGAGGTGTTGGGGATCACATGTGGCTTACAGGCTGCACTTTGTCCACTTCTGTACTATATGTATACTTCCATTTAGTATACATTTGCCTTTAACCCCCCCCACCACCATATTATGTATACTTCCACTTAGTGTTATGAAGAAGGCCATCCTTAATGTCTTTCTTTATTCCCTGTTATACAGTAATAACATACCAGAACCAAAATAAGTCTAAAAATAAAGAAATTGGATCCTTGAGATTACTCAGACTTTTGATTTCATTATCCAGCATGGTCGCTGAATGACATGTGTCCCTTAAATTCAGTTTTAGTTAATAGTAAAAACCAAACTGGAATTGTCAACAACAAAGTTCAGTAACAGTTTATTAAAAATGATGACCTGGGGATCTAAATTTTTAGCCTGATGAACTAAAATTGGCATCACCAAGTTTTATGCCCGGAATGAAAGGGCTGTTTTGGATGCACTCAATAGGATTTGGAGTTTTCGCTGCTACGGCACATGCTTTGCCCTCAAAGGTTACCATGCTCGTTCCCTATAATCTCCCCTTAAGAGGATTTCAGATAGCAAGACTGGGAAAGACTTTTGCCTGAGGCTTGGGAGAACCACCACAAGTCATATCAGAATGTCAGAGGTATATGCGAAAACAAAGACCATTTTGAAAATTCTCTGCATTTCTAAAGTGGTTTACTGTGTAGCAGGGGTCATTGCATTACCATGAAACTAAAGAGTCCTATGATTCTATGGATCTAGATACAGTATTGGTTGATTAATTTCCTGGTTAAACTGATTAAAGTTGTACCACTCTAAGAGGAGTGGGAACAACTTACAAAATGTGGGCATTTGTATATTTTTGAATAGTGAGTTACTAGTTGATGCCTTAAAAGGATTTTGCTGCAACTAATGTATAGGGAGGTTTGAATGTGTCGTCTCTTGTTTTTCCTTAAGCCCTTTTGCTGGTTTTTGTACTTCTCAACATACCTGAGTTGGTGTTTAAAATGTTATCATTTGCCTTGAGTGTTGTTGTTCTCATTTTTAATATTTATAACAAAAGAAAAATTATTTTGGAAATGTACTGCAGTCATTTTATGGAATGATTTTCTAAAATAAATGGTGGCTAAATGAGTTACACATCATTGCTAGTATAATAGGGAAAATATTGAAATATCTAAGATTCATACTTGAGTTAGTGTTTAAAATGTTATCATTTGCCTTGAGTGTTGTTGTTCTCATTTTTAATATTTATAACAAAAGAAAAATTATTTTGGAAATGTACTGCAGTCATTTTATGGAATGATTTTCTAAAATAAATGGTGGCTAAATGAGTTACACATCATTGCTAGTATAATAGGGAAAATATTGAAATATCTAAGATTTCTCTGTCTTCAAATTTTGGCCCAGGTTGAAGAATTTGCCCTGAAACCAGCACTCAAACTTGATTGATTTTTAAAATAGGCGCAGATTAGTAATTTTAGTATGGAAATTGTATTTTATCACTTGATTATTGCATATCACATTTGTGGAATTGCTGTTAACAAAACAAGCACCACAAATGCAGATTAAGTTCACACAGCAGCCTTTACAGTACATCAAACATTGTATGTAAGGATACATCAGCAGTATTTTAACAACTTGTTCATAGGAGGCCAAGAATGTCAATGCATTGGTTAATGTCTGTGAAGTGTCTGCACAGGGAAGGAAAGAATCAGTAGATTCCTCACAGGATTCTTCTCCCTTATCAGAGCAAACCCAGCAGCATGGGAGGGATTGGTCAAACCACAGCCAATACAGTTATCTCCTATGGTTATTAGATGTGGTAAATGGGGAAAGACCGCCGGCATCACATCTGCTCAAAGATCAATTAGTTATAGTACATTCCTGACAGTACTTAAGTTTAAATTAGTGATCTATGATGTCCTATATGTTTTTCACATCTATATTTTCTTATATAGGAAAACCCGTTAATTTTGATGATTATAGTGATATCCACATTCCTGCTGTCATCCTTAAGACTTTACTCAGAGAACTCCCAGAGCCTTTATTAACCTATGACACCTATGACCAAATCCTTGGAATCACTGGTGAGGTTTGTTTGTTTTTAAAACAACATGTCTCTGACTCAGCTATATAGATTTTTACTAACCTATTAAATGCCTGCCAAAACAAAGCATTTGCATCCCATTGATTTCTGTAGAAGGACAAAATGTGCTTTGAATATACATGCCAGAATCTGCCTCTTTGACTTTGAGAGTTGGAAATTTACTTTCATTTTAAATACCGTATTTTCAGGATTTCAGTGGTGTCCACATGTGGAAATGAAAGTGGGATTGATTTGGATTGAAAGCATCCAGGAACTTCCAGACCATTTGAAACAGAAAATAAAGCGTCAGTGAGAACTGCAAGAGTCCTCCTTTATTAGCCATCACCAGCAAATGTTTCAGTCATAGTGGAAAGTTAGGATGCCTCTGAGAACCAACACAGAAGGAACCCTAGTGCTCTTTGGCAACCAACCTCTTTGTCTGTCAGGATTAGATAATATACAGTATGTTCTATATTTTTACAGCTGTGGAAAGCAGCTTGCGGGTGAGCAGCTGCAAAGAAATCGTGCATCAACTTCCTGAACAAAACTATGCTGTCCTGAAGTTTTTGTTAAGTTTTCTTCATATGGTGAGTAAGAATTAAGTCATCACAGTGATTGCTGTTTGCAGGCTTAACATGCTTTCTGGACTGAAACAGGCCACAGGATTATTGGGAACAGCTTTGAAGATTTGGTACAACATAGAAGCTAGATCCTGGCGCTGAACAGCCCATCTATTGTAAATTGAACCTCCCTCAGCTTAAATGCTGTGAGGGATTCATTGAATTACAGGAACCTGAAACCACTTGGGCATTGGGGCATTTAATGGCTACCCTGCCATGAATGGATGCCCTACCATGTGGCTGTAAAGCAGAGCGTGGCCCCCAAGCTGGGCCAGCCCCAACGCCTCTTTCCAGATCCCTTAAGGGGACTCTGTAGAGGGACGTGGGTAGGCCTTTTACCCAACCTGCCCAATAACGCTGTGACAAAAAGATTAAAAGCATACCATATAACACCTCAATGTGAACAAAACCTTTACCAGTCCAAGTCTACCAGTAAGCCCTTTACCTATGATAGGGAGGGAGGATGAGGAAGCCTCAGTGAAGACTGCTAGCTTGGCTGCCATTAGTGATGTTGATAAGTCACAGTCCTGTAGTTTTTTAAATCTTATTTGTTTATTTGGTACCCAAGAAAGTGTTTGTTCCAAAATTGCTGTGAACTTATGGAATCTTAGTTATCCAAATAGCAATTTGAAATCAAATAGCAAATAAAGATCAGAGTGCTGGATTCCGTCGTATCCGTATCTGTGCATAGAAGGAAGAGAGTTGTGTGGAGGGAATCAGTGTCATGCACTCGCAGCTTAGTGAGAACTTTTGGTTGTAAGCTGCATATGTAAATACCTGGACGAATATGGCAGCTGAAGTCTGAAAAGGATGGCTGTAGCAGGCTGCTGGACTGTTTCATACACACACACAGAGAGAGAGAGATCTGTCATTCCACAAGGGTAGGGTATGGGTTCTGGAATGTGTACAGCTGCAGAGATGACAAAGAGAACAGCAGCTTTTTGGCAAGTTTCCAACCTCTAAGTTAATAGGTCCATGCCCAACTTATAGCCCCCAAAGTATGTGCTAAGTCTCCCCATGTGATAGTGACCATCTGAACATTAAAATTATTACAACGGTGGATGAAGAAGTAGCCCATCATATTATTATTACTTTTGTCAAGATTCTCATGAAAGCAGTAATTTATGAGCCGAGAAGGACTGTATCTTTAAAAAGGTCAGCTCATCCACCTTCTAAGCCAGTGGTTCCCAATCTCAAGTAACTGAGATGTTCATAGAATCGTAGAAAAGTGAAGTTGGAAGGGGACTACAAGGCCATCAAGTCCAACCCTCCACTCAGTGCAGGAATACAATCAAAGCGTATCTGCCTCCAGTGTTGGAACACTCACCAACTCCCGAGGTAACTGGTTCCACTATTCACTGTTTTTGGACTGCAACTCCCAGCAAACTTCACCACTGGTTGTGCTGGCAGAGGTTTCTGGGAGTTGCAGTCCATGATAATAAAAAAATGTTTTATTATAGTCATTGACCAGCAAAAGTAAGGAACATTATTTAAACTAGGAGACATAAAATCAATCTAAAAACACTAAAAACATCTATATACATACATATATAAAACTACATTCATACATCTTACTAAATATCTCCTGCCTCCCTATCATAGGCCTTATCTAGGGGTTATTGCAGCTTGCATAGAATGACAGCATTGTTACTTTGAAGCTCATAGAGCCCGTGGGATCATTATACCAAATTGGTATACACCAATTTACAGATATTATAACTGCACTTTAGGTGGAACCTTTCCTTCATGGATTTTGATTGCAGCAGCACAGAATTTAGCTACTTTTCTCAGCATATCTGAATTTTGGTTTAGCCCAGTATAACTGCCAGGGCATCACCCTGTCAGCAAAAGCAGTGTATAATGTGTTTCTGATCATCCGGGAAATGCCCTTATGGAAGGGTTAGCAAGGATTTCTTGAATGCCAGAATAAAAAGGAGAATGAAGTAACACATGGGAGATAGATTTGATCTCATCAGAGTTACAGGGGCATAGACCCTGAGTGTAAGGGGTGTTGTTATACTTCCTTTCCTGGACTGCTGACGGAAGTGCATTGAAGTGGGCCAGATTAAGAGCTTTGTGTTGTTTAGGTGTTAAGGGTAAGTAGAGATATTTTGCCAGTTTGGGTGGGAGCAGTGCGTTGTCAAGTATAAACCTATTTCTGATAATACCAAGGTCTTGCTGCCTTTCTGAGCTGCAGTCCATGAATACCTGGGTTACTTAGGGAACCACTGCTCTAGGCCATTGCATGGGATGAGGAACCACCTGGACTACAGTGGTGATACACCAGGACAGTTTTAGAGTTCTGTCTCAGTTGCCCTCATTCTGCTTACACAGTAATCAGTGCTCTGATAATAATCTGTCATTGCTTAATACAGTCACCACAGGCTATTACCAAAATACTCACCTCATTTTGCTATTATTTTAATGATAAATATCTTTCCTTAGCATTATGGATGTAAGTGACTTTTGTTCTAGTAACAGACATGCCGATTCAACATACTTCTAAACAGCCAAGTGCACTCTATGTGTTAATGAGGTGTGCGAAAGTACTTGGCAATATCTCCTGTAATTGGGTAACAGAATGTAGAATTATTCTTGAGTGTCCCTTGTTACCCTTGTTATTTCCCCTAAAATAAGACTTAATCTGAAAATAAGCCCTAGTATGATTTTTCAGGATGCTCATAATATAAGCCCTACCCCAAAAATAAGCCCCATTTAAGTGAAACCCCGCCCTCCACCATTCTGCAGCAACCAGAAGAAGATGACAGGACTGTATTTGAATAAATGTAGATTGTTGTACATGAAAAAAAAAAACATCCCCTGAAAATAAGCCCTAATGCGTTTTATGGAGCAAACGTTAATATAAGACCCTGTCTTCTTTTCGGGGAAACGGGGTGTCTAAAGTGCAAACTCAAGTTGATTCTGGTACTCAAATATTTTGCTGATCCCTGCCTTTTAATCTTCAATGTCTGAGGGAGCATTTTAGATTTGGAAAGGTTGAAGTAGTTTGGTAAGGCCTGGGACGGAAGTTGGGGTTTTCGAGCTGCCTAGAGAGAAGTAACTCAGCACAATTCAACAGATGGCAGGTACCTTTGTTCAGTGATGCTGGGCCAACGGTATCAACATCCTCAAGTAGGGCTGTTGGGACAGGGAACTTTTGCATGCCCTGAGAAACTGTGAATGTAACCAGTGTTGTTGTTGTTGTTGTTGTTGTTGTTTTGGTAGGTGCGTGGTGTAATGTACATTTAGAATTCCTGGATTCACAGCTGAGTTGTGTTAGCATTTTTTACATCAATTTTACATTCCTTCTGTTTGACATGCATGAAACACACTTTCAATCCCTCCTGCTCCCCATGTGTTCCTTCTCCTTTGGTCCCTCCTTTGGGGAGGGGGGAGAATCAGAAATATAGAATTGTGCACGTATACATGCTCACAGATGGCATTGAGGCTGGCTATGCCTCCCTTCAGAAACATGCAGTTGTAAATGTATGTGAACACTTGATGACCTTTCTTGACAAAGATTGGGGTGAGTGTTCTTGCACAATTACAATTCAGACTTCCTGAAAGCAAAATTCTATGCAGGTTTTCCCAAGTAATAATGAACTGCAACCCTCCTTGTATTTACGTAGTAATGTTAATAAGAAACTGGAGTGATGAAATTATCATAGCAACTCAATGTCAGCTGGCACATGGCCTGAACCTCCTCCATTGTCTTCCTTCTTCCATGGAATTTCTCCAAGACCTGGTATGAGCTGGACATGTACAATATAGGTCAGTGTTGCCCCCCCCGCACCCGCCCAAAAGCTCTCCAAACACTCTAATTGCAGAAGCTATTCACATTTTAAAGGGGGGGGACCCTCTCCTTTCAGTTTATTGCTTATAGTCACATCACACCCTCCATTGCTCACCATTCCCAGTTGCTCCTTTCTTTTCATTGACTGACCTCTGAATTTGCTGACAACCAATGGGAGACTCCTCCATTACTCTCATTATGGAATTGTGCAACTACTGTTACAAGCACTCTTCTGACCTGTCCCCTTCTCATTCATCATTGCTGTTAAAGATGATGCTGCAGGTGCACTCTTTTGCATGGGGGGGGAGGCAAAAAGAAATAGCGTGAAATATCAGAACAGGTTATTTCCATGAGACAAGAAGTGCTAGATGGGGAAAGGCTGCCATTAGAGTAGTGACAATGTTATGTGAAAACTACAGAAAACAAATAGATATAATGCAGTGGTGAGGGGACATAAACCATTGTGTGGAAGTTCCTAAAAAGGCAATCAAGAGGGACTTTGTAGCTGCTGAGCAAAACCCTGGGAAAAGCTTTCCTCTGAAGGCCTTCTTGTGTTGCTTCTGGCCTTTGTGGACATCTCCAAAAAGAAATACTATGCTTTGCCAAGTTCTCCATAGTATATATTGATGAGGAAGGGCTGAGTTCTACCACAATGTATGAGGGAAAAACTAGACAGTCTAGCTCACCGGTGGGCAATATGTGGCCTTCCAGATGTTGTTGGACCTCTCATCAATTTTAGCCAGCATAGCTGTGGTAAGAGGTGCTAGGAATCGTGGTGCTAAAACTAACAGCAGGGACACATGTTGCTCATCCTTGCTCCTTTTCAGAGATCCAGCTTGTTCATCTGACAGCTGAGAAGGGGGAAGGATCATGGATGCACACACAAAACCTGGCTCCAGCATTCCTTTCTTCAGCTGCTCAGTCCCCACCCTTTGCTTGTTTCAAGGGATATCTGAAGGAGGCCTCTATTCATTGTTTCATCTACTGTATAGGTATATACATACTCTCTCCAAGAAAAGGGATAGAAGGAGGGAACTACCAGGTATTCCCTCCAAGAAAAAAGGATATAGAGGACTGGGATTTTCTCTAAACAACCCCCCCCATATCCTCTTTTCTTGGAGGGAGCACCTGGTGGTTCCTTCCTTCTGTGTATTCATTGCCACCACACTTTGCAATAATGCTTTTGTAGTCCCTTTGCAACAATGTGACTTACTGTTTTCAGGATTAATGTTACTGATAGCTTCTAATTTTGTTATTTTGTGTCTTTTTTACCTTGTGAGCCACACGAGGGGATGAGATTTTTAGGCTGACAAAGAAGTAAATCAATTCTGTTTTGGAAGTGTAACAGTTCAGTCCTTTGTATATTTTGTTTTAATAGTGATCTGTTTGTATTTCTTTTTCCAGGTGTCACAGGAAAGCATTTTCAACAAAATGACTGCTTCCAATCTTGCATGTGTCTTTGGCCTGAATTTAATCTGGTCAGCCAAAGGTGCTCCTTCTTTCAACACTTTAGTGCCTATAAATCTTTTTGTTGGGTTGCTGATAGATTTCTATCCTGTCGTCTTCGGCTCTCGAGTTGTGCCTGGTGAGCAATTACCTTGAAAATTAAACAAGCAAAATGGAATATGCCAGTAGGAAGAATCATCCATGAACATTCCAAGCAAGACATCAGATATTCCATATATATGAAAATGAATAAATTCATATGAAGCAGATTGATATCAACTCTGACCATTGGGGTGTTTAGCACCAGGCGGTATGCTCCTATTGCCAACAACTCTTGAAGTGGGCTCTTTGCCAGCCCTTCTTCTTGAGATCCCTTTGGAGACACCACAGATTTGAACCTGGGATCTCTTTCATGTAAAGCTGTTTCTAAGCACTTGGCTGTCAGAAAATATATTAGTAATGATCCGGAGCAGGACTTTTTTCATGGTGGAACCACACACATTTAGTCTTTAGAGATGCCTACCCCATTTACAATTTTTTAGGAAGTTGGTAGAATTTAACAAAATAGTTCATGTATGCTAGAGGTTGTTATGTATCTATGACTGACTGTTGTATTTTTGTAATGATGAGGCTAAATCCTCTTTTAATTCCAAGTAGAATAAAACTATTGAAAGAAATGGGATGTCTTATTAATTACTAATAAATGTTCCACTGATTTCAGTGGGACTACTCTAGATGGGAATAAAATTCAGCTTATTCTGATTGTTTATTATTAGATTATTTGTAGCTTTTAACCTTCTCTATAGGTAACTCTGGCATAAAAAGATGCAGTACAGATTGCTGTCATGTAGCATGGAGTTTCTGACATTATGGAGCTAAGCCTATGCCTAACTAGCTACCTTTTCTAAAAGTCCCCAGTTAGTATTAGAACAGGAACAGATAGCTAAGCCGAGCTAGGGTGAGTTAGGCTTCAAAGACTTCCAGTTTAGGTCTTTCTGAGGTGAACAACTTTCATTTGTCTGTAAAACATATCTCTGTCAGGTAGTGGACTTGCCCACAAAAGCTCTCATTAAAATATAGCAGTTAATCTTTAAGGTGCCATTGTGTTTTTGTCTTTATTTTTTCTTTTTCTTTTGTTTCTGCACAGTCTAACACAGCTGCTTCTTCTAAAACTATATATGTCAGGTAGAACTCCTGGAATGAAGAATTATGGAACTAATGGTCCAAAAAAAGTTTAAAAATCCCATCCCTAACAGTAAGTATGTCTAACAACTTTCTAGCCAGAGTAAGCTATGATGTGGCAGCCAGATGGTGTCAAGTGATATCTTAGATGGGGTCCTAAAATGTTTTTGTAGTGAATAAGAGAATGCAGCATGACTGTCTAATTCATATTTCACCCATCTTTTTATGGACTTGGAGAAGCACTATGTCTAATTTCTCCATGCATAATATAAGGATGATAATCAGATCTTAGAAAACTTAGTTTTGGACTACAGTGGTTAGCATCTGTAAGTCAGCATAGCCACTACAACTCCCAGAATCACTCAAACAGCATGACTGCTGCTGGGAATGCTGTTTGGAAGAATTTGGAAAATGCAGTTTTAAAAACGATCACTTCCCCAAGTCCTAGTAATAATGCTGGTTTCCTTGGAGAGACTGTTGACAAGCTTCCTGTGATTGTGTGTTGGCTTGCAGGAGAGTGGCTGTGTTTGTCTGTTAAACCAAACATGACAGAATCTTCTGCCATAATAAATTAGTCTTTTAATCACAAGACTGATTTAGTGCTGTTTGTGAAGCACTTTCAGCACTAGCAGTGCTCTACGGATGCAAAATAATCCTATAATTGGGAGAAAGGCAGCATAGAAATAAAATAAATAATTTAAATACTATTTAAAATACATTACAATGACATATATATGTTCACCATGCAGCAAACTATGAGTATACATTTAGTGGGAAACTCAGGTCTTCCCTGCATTAGTGTGTGAAATGGCAGTACTGGAAATAAGATGATGCATAGGTTTGAGATGCCTCACTGGTCTTTGCTCCCCATCCCCTTGTGGTTCTTGCAGTTCCTTAAGGAAGATCCTAGGGAGACTGAAGGCACCTTGTTACCAAGGTGTTTTGAATTAGCCCTGACTATGTTTGTGCACACACACTCCGCCACTGATTTGTACCCTGAGAGTATTGTTTTCTGATGGGAAATGCTAGAAGTATCTGTGACATTAAATCAAGCCTCATGAATTATTCAGAAGGGTTTACAGTGAAATTCCTGTGTGAGAAATATGTTTCAAATTTTGCAGACTCTGAGAGAAGTCCTGGAGATATCTCCCGCAGTTCCTTTGATAACAGTTTCTCTTTACAAATGATGATTGCACAATTCCAGCTTTGTGCAGTGTGGCCTCAGAGAACTCATCTCTGGTTATCAAAGAGCAATTTTCAGATAATTTCCATTGCAGAAGAGAAAGTGATTACTGGAGATAATCTTCTGGAAGCACACATGCTATAGTTGGACTTAAGACAATTAAAAAAAAAAGAATCATAAAATATAGAATCAAAGCATTGCTGGTAATGTTAGTGATATGCAGAGAATAAAATGAGTTAAATATTGTAGTTTAGTGGAACTGCTGGGGATTTTAAATTGTTTTTTAAGATTTGTTTGATCTTCTGATGCCTCCAGCAAGAATAAATAAAATGGCACACTTGGATTTCTGAAAGAAAACAAAGGCTGATCTTTGCAAAATGTTTTCTTTACAGATATGAAAGACTAGAAACGAGACTGATAGTGGTGACCCTTGTGTATTTTCATGTTTTGTACACAAACAGAGCTGATAGAGATTTTATTTGTTAGGGATAAAAGGCCTGATTGATATATTACAGTGGAGATAAAAATAAATTTGCATTAAAGGCTAAAATGTTTCATGGATTGCTGCTGCCCACTTGGTTAGGTCTATGTGGTGATCTAGACTCTAGAGAGCTCATTTGGTATCTAGACATGGGTACAGGTGGAGAAGGGCATGTGGTTGTGTGAAACCAGAAGGCTAGGGATCGAAAGGCCAGGAAAACATTTTCATGACAGGAATGTCACAATTCTGACAAAGCCTGTAAAAACTAGCTGTAATAAATGATAGTCTTCTTTTCCAGAGGCAAAGAACACCTGCTTTTAAATGCAGTTAATATACAGTCATATATACACAGAGATTTTGTAAGTGTGTACATCTAAAATCCTACATGCACACTTATTAGGGAACAAGCCTCCAGTGAGAGTACTTCTGAATAAACAGGCACGTAGACTCCATCTACACAAACCTGACTGTTCCAACCTAGAGCTAAATGATCTGTCTCGACCAGTGATGGCATACCTTTTTTGAGCCCGAGTGCCCAAACTGCCAAAAACCCACAAAAAAACCCAACCCAACAGGCAGCAGGCAGTGGCAGTGGGAGTGGTGGCAGTGGAAGTGGCAGCAGAATTGGGGGATTCCAGGCACGGAGGTGCCTCCAGACCCCACTCTGGATCTGACTCCAATCGTGCCCAACCTTGCCACTACCTATAGCCGGCCCGCCAGTGGCAGCTGCTCTGGATCCTGGCCCCCTGCCTCGGGGCACTAGTGCTGCAGCTGCACGGCCTCCTCAGGTTTGGCTGCTGGGGGTAGCAATCCAGCGCCTGATGGTTTCTGTGCCCACAGAGAGGGCTCTGTGTGCCAGCTGTGGCACGCGTGCCATAGATTTGCCATTGCTGGTCTGGACATTATACTCATCAAAAGGAAGGTAACATTAGCAGTAATCTTTGTTAGGACTTTGTAGCACACTAGTAATTTGTAGCATAGTTGATAATGTTCCTCTTCTAGATCAGTGGTTCTTAACCTTTGTTACTTGGATGTTTTTGAACTGCAACTCCCAGAAACCCCAGCCAGCACAGTTGGTGGTGAAGGCTTCTGGGAGTTGCAGTCCAAAACTCCTGAGTAACCCAAGGTTAAGAACCAGTGTTCTAGATCACATAGGTCGAAAATTCCCACTGGTGAATGTGACTACAGATGTAGGATCTCTCCATACAGTCCTGAAGAATAATCTGCTAAACCATAACACAGGTAGAGTTCTGTGTGCTGTGAACCTGCTGCCAAAAAAAGTACTAATTTTGTATCCAAGCATTTCAAATGCTTTGCCAAACAAAGATCAGTTGTAGGAGATGTGGATACTGAAGCAAACATGGGCAGTGTATTCTGTAGTATTTGCCTGTCTGTGGGAGAGAGCAGGAGCTGTGCAATACAATGGAGCCTTCTCCCATCTCAAATAACTTGTCTTTCAGATCTCAGAATTTTCTACGTGGGTTGTTCTTTTACATCTTGGGCCATCTTTATAGCTGGGATATCAGGACTCTTATTTACTCATTTGTTTTTCCCGATCCCTAGGAAGTGGAATTTGGTGCCCTAGTGCAACCTCCTATATGTGTGGCACAGAATCATGACATTATGCACAGTGTTGGAATCTGTGCTGTAGGGAAGGTATGGAGATGCTGTTGCAGAGATGGTGTTTCAAGATTGGGCTGTATGGCATATACAAATCCAAATGAGGAAGAATGTGAGAGCTGTAGGATAAATTTCACAAGTGCATGCGATCTTTGGGCCATGTCCAGCTTTTTTAACACTACATATATTTGGTCTTTTTTTCTTGTGGAACTGATTGTTCCTAGGTTTTGTTGCTAATACGGCACCACTTCTGTTGTTTTCTTTCTGAAAGCTTATGTTAAGGTTAAATTACTGACCAGGCCCTGAGTTGGGTGATCAAGCCGACCTTAGTCTTGTAGGATCTTACAAATGAGTGAAAAAGTGAGACCTTGCACCCTGGTCACAAGTTAAAAGCCTTTGACTCATAGATTTCAGATAATTCTTCGATGAGTGAAAAAGTGAGACCCTGCACCCTGGTCACAAGTTAAAAGCCTTTCTTTGACTCATAGATTTCAGATAATTCTTCACTGATATGCGCTTTGTGATGTTATAGTCATGATTACCATGTTCCTATAGCCCCTGTCCATGCATAATTTAAGGACTAGATAGAGCAGGAATGAGCAGTTAAAGGCCAAGATCTGTCCACTGCCTTGATAATTCTTTCTTGGTCACAATCTCTCCATCTTTTGGTTGCTTCATCTTTCATACCTTTGATATAAATACTATCGCATTTTTCAGTGTATAAGATGCCCATGTATAAGATGCCCCCACTTTTCTAACCCCAAATCAATATTTTAAACATAAAACAAAATACGTTTTTATTTAATAAGTAGGTAACAGTTACATACCAGTACTGTCATATTATGCATCACACTTAGTTTGAGCACGTCACTTTATTCAGCCTCTGGGCTCAGAACGCTCCGACATTACAAGTCCCTCTTGCATCTGAGCCCTGCCTACAGCTCCACCTCCAATGAGGTATGTTCCACTGGGTTTGTTCAGCAAGAAGTAGGAAGCTAAGCCCCATGATTGGAGGCAGCATGTTTGAAAAGGCAAAGTATGGGCAGTTTTGCAATCGTGCAGTTCTCTCCTCGGCTTCTGTGTATAAGACAACTCTCAGTTTTTAGTCTAAAGATTTTATTTATTTATTTATTTTTGGACTTATAGGCCGCCCCATAGGGCTACAAGCACCCTCCGGGCAGTTTACAATTTCATTATACAGGCTACACATTGCCCCCCCCCCCAGCAAGCTGGGTACTCATTTTACCGACCTTGGAAGGATGGAAGGCTGAGTCAACCTTGAGCTGGCTACCTGGGATTTGAACCCCAGGTCGTGAGCACAGTTTTAGCTGCAGTACAGTGTTTTAACCACTGTGCCACGAGGCTCCACATTTTAGACAGAAGTATCATACATGGAAAAATATGGTAAGTTCCTGGACAAGAGTGCATAACGTACCTGTCATCTGAGAGTAATAGAGTCCATCTTGTCACAACCAGATAACTTGTTCCCAGGCTCTCACCGGAGGATGCTAGGTCACACCTCTGGTCATTCCTCAGCTGTAGCTACCCGGGTGAGTTATTGCCCTGCGCTTGCAAGTTGCCATCAACACCATGTGTCTCAAACTCAAGACTTGCCACAGTCGCTGTTT